CTAGACCTGCATTACACAACAGGGTGGTAAACATGCTGGCAGCTGGTCCAATATGAGTACTCCCAACACGGCTAGAACCGGTGCTGCAGTACTGGTGGGAGTGTTTTAAGAAAACGTTCAGAGTACACAAGGGTTTAGGCACTGTCCACACTGGAATCACAACTGTGCTTTGAACAACCTTTGCACATGGTTGTCCATTGCAGTTTCCCTCACTAGTGCAGATACAGACTATGACATAACATGTCTGTTGTTTATGCCGGACGGAGATCTAGTGGGGGAAAGAGGGAGGTTACATTTAGTGTGATTTTTAATAAGTCTATCAAGCGCTCCAGGCACACAAGCAAGCCATTTCATGGGAAGAGGTATTTTAATGTTCCCAGTGGATATAGTCCTTCTCCCCCAGCCCAATGGAACCAACCCTTTAATTCCCCCCCCCCCAACGTCTCCATCTCAATCCCCAGCCCAAAACGTAAAAGCCGGGGGGGGAAACGGGACGGGACAGAGGGGGGCGCGGAGAAGCCTTCAAATGGGCCCTAAAGGTGAAAAACGTTGTTAGGGTCTGCCAGAGCCAGGCTTGAGGAAAACGGGAAGATGGTGAGAACCATCTGGGATGCTTGAGCTGGGGCTGGTCCTGCTGCGAGCAGGGGGTGGGACGAGATGGCTCCTGAGGTCCCCCCCAGCCCTGAGAGTCTGTGATTCGATCAACGCCAAGACCGCTCTGGAGGGAGGGGGGGAATCGCCCCCTCGCTGGGGGGGGGAATCGCCCCCTCGCTGGGGGGGGGGGGGTTCTGCGCCCCTTGGGAAGGCGTGAGGGTCTCACGCGGCCGCCTGCGCGGGGGAGCAGCAGCTGGGCTGACTCCAGCCCCCCTTGCCCAGGGCGGGGGGCTGCCGCCCTTGGGCCCCGGGGTCGGCAGCTGTTTCCGGTGGGGTATTTGGTGCGGGCCCGGCGGGGTTCCCCGCTCCCCGGTTCGGTGCGGGCCGCGGGGCCGGGTCGGGGGCCCTGCCCGGCGGGGAGCGGGGGGTTCCCGGGGAAGGGCCCCGCCCGGCTGCCCCGGGGCCCGCCCCAGCCGCTGGGGTCTCGGGGCCCCGGCCGACCTGCTGCTGCCTCACCCACCCGGCCCCGACTCACGATCGTCTCCGCCATGGCGCTGGCGGCCCCGCCCGGCCTCGCCCGCCTGCTCCCGGGGCCGGTTCCCGAGCGGCCGCCTCGTCCCCCGGCTCCGGCCTCCAGCGCCCCCGCTCCGCGCGCGCCGGCGTCAGCGGCCCCGCGCCCGCCAACCCCGACAACAAGGTTCCGGGCAGCAACGTTCCCCGCTCCCGGCTCCCTGCGGGGAGCCGCGACCCACCCACAGATCCTGCCCCATCGCCCCCTAGTCCCGCCCCATAACCCCTCCGGGTACCCCCCAGAACCCGCCCGGTCCCACCCCATAGCCCGTCCCGGGTACTCCACAGAACCCCCCGGTCCTGCCCCATAGCCCGTCCCGGGTACTCCACAGGACCCCCCCGGTCCGCCCCATAACCCCTCCGGGTACCCCCCAGAACCCTTCTGGTCCCGCCCCATAGCCCCTCCCCTGGTACCCCACAGAACCCCCCAGTCCTGCCCCATAACCCCTCCGGGTACCCCACAGAACCCCCCCCATAACCCCTTCCCGGGTATCCCACAGAACCCTCCCCGGTCCCGCCCCACAACTCCTCCGGGTACCCCCCAGAACACCCCCTGGTCCTGCCCCAGAACTCCTCCCTGGTTACCCCACAGAATCCCCCCAGTCTCACCCATAACCCCTCTGGGTACCCCAGAGAACCCCCGTCATAACCCCCTCCCCGGGTACCCCACAGAACCCCCCAGTCTGCCCCATAACCCCTCCGGGTACCCCACGGAATCCCCCCCGGTCCTGCCCCATAACCCCTCCTTGGATACCCCACAGAACCCCCCTGGTCCCGCCCCCATAATTCCTCCCCGGGTACTCCACAGAATCTCCCCCGGTCCCGTCCCATAACTTCTCTGGGTACCCCATAGAATGCTTTCCTCCCTTCCCCCTGGCACTCCCTCCCCATCCTCCTATCCCCCATTCACCCAGGCATGATCCTAGTGTGAAGGGTTCTGACCCCCAGCTCAGTTCTGACTGATCCTGTGACTGAGGGCAAAGCCAGGCCCAAGGCAGGAGGCAGCCAGCCAGACTTTGGGGGTTCTCTCAGATGGTTATTTGACACTGAACAGATCTGGGGCAGGCCCTGTTCATGCTGCAAAGGAGATGATTCTTTAGCTCTTCGGACCCACTGGTGTCTGCAGTACTGATTATTACCCTGATGTAAAATACAGAATACTTTATGAAATGCCAAGGCAAATGGCTGTCGGAGCCCCAGCCCCAGCAATGAATTAGTCTTGCAGGCACAAATGATCCCCACCCAGCAGCCAAAAAACCAAATCGTAGACGAATAATTAATTAAATCAGGCAGGCAATAAATCAGAACAGCAAGACAGTCCCCTCTGTGCCCTCCATCCCCCCGGAATATACCCTCCACCTTTCCCCTAAGCCCTTTTGCAGCCTGTCCAGCAGCCATCAAGTCTGGGCTAGTTCAGGTCACATATGTTTCAAAAAGGCATGTTCCTTGACAAAGAGGAACTCTGGGATGAGGCGGGTCATGGTATGTAGGGGAACAGCCCCGGTGAACTCTCGGGCCTTTCAGTTACTGTAGACAGATCTGGGTGAGAGGTGGTTACTGAAATATTTAGGGCCTGGAATACCAAGGGCTTTGTATTCTCACACCAAGGCCCTGAGCTGTGTCCTTTAGCATGACAGAAGTCAGCGCAGATCCCAGAGGGGTAACTAACTCCCTGCCTTCTATTTGAAGAAGCAACCGTCTGCCACGAATTGCAGTCTGGCTACATTTCAAGAGAAGCCCAGTTACCCATGTCAGTAATTCACATTAATGAAGCAGGAGCTTGCCATTCCTCTCGAGTCCGTCCTGCAGGATGACATCACTTGTGCCACAAAATCAGCTAGTAATGAGACCAAGTCATGATGCTATGTCACTACTGCATTCCAGTGCTCTTCATAACCTCTGGCTTCTTTCATCCCCCTGCAAGCGCATGAGAAGTGGGGCTGTGCCATAAATATGAGGATGGGTGGGGAGCTTGTTGAGAATTATCCCTGCTTCTGACCCCTAGTGATGCTGATGGGGCAGCCCAGCAGTGTCCTGGCTCAGCAAAGCGGTCACCACTTCTGAGTCTGGGTCCTGGACCGGAGGGGCCCTGGGCCGGCCCGCTGTGAACTGTCATTCTCAGCTCTGGATGGGGAGCAGGTGAAAAGCAGGGAGGATGTCAGTCATCACCTCCCTCTCCAGGGACCTCCAGTAGCGATCCGCTGAAGGGACTGAAGTGTTCATTCAGCACCCGTCAATTCTCCTGTTAGCGTGTGCACAAAGGGGCCTGCTGGAAGAGAGCAGGAATTGTGTATAATAAGGGGCAATCCAGGATTGTTCTACAGGACTGGGCCAGGTTAGATACAGGGTAACATTTTCAAAGGTGTCCACATGACTTGGGAACCTCACTCCCAGTCTGAAAAGGGAGTTAGGCCATGTCTACACAACAGCTGTGACAGCTACACCTACGACGCTGCTGCTTGCCATAGTCTAGATGTTCCTACGTCAGTGGAAGGGGGGTTTCTTTCTATGTAGGTAACAGACCACTTCAAGAGGTGGTAGCTAGGCCAGTGGAAGAATCCTTCCTTCAACCTAGCTGCATCTACGCCGGGGCTAGGTTGACCTAACTATGGCACTCAAGGAGTGAAATTTCCTTTTACAGCCCTGAGCCATGTAGCTAAGTTGATGTAATTTTTAACAGACCAGGCCTAAGTGCCACTGACTTGCAATAAGCTCTAAGTCACTTGGAAATGGGACTAAGGCCAGGTCTAGGCTACTGCGTGGGGCAGGGCGGGGCGGGGCAGAGATGTGATCCCTGACTGACAGAGCTGGGCTGGCAAAAGCCTCTTATGTAGGCACAGTTGTAGTGGCAAAACTGCACTTTCAGCAGTAGCGTTTGTGTTGCTGGGAGCCTGGAATATGCAAAATCAAGTGCAAAAATGCAGCTTGGTGGCTGTAAAGCAGCACGCAGAGGAGGACCGTGCTGCTGGTATAATATACAGGTACAGCTACCCTGACAAATCATTCCTAAGGGAGATCTGGCTTTAGGCTCCTATGTCACTTTCAGGCACCTTTGAAAATTTGACCCCAAAGCTGGGATTTTTAAAGGCGTCTAAGGGAATGAGGTGCCTAAATTAACTTCAATGAGAGTTGGGTGCCCAACTGCTCTTTGTGCCTTTGAAAATCTCCTTATAAGTCATTTTGGAAATTTGATGGAGGCTCCTAAGTCACATCGGCTCATGTCCTTCATGATATTTAGGGGGCCAAGGCCCACTGATTTCCTTAGGTGTTTTCGAAAATGTTACCGATGGCCGCTAAAGAAATGCAAAGCACCTTCTTTCACAGGGCCAAATGGATGAAAGTGACGGCAGTCAGAGCAGGGGTCAGCTCTCAGCCTGCTTCTATCCCCTGAGGATAGTTAATTTGACATCACTGCATACCTGCAACTGCTTCAGGTAAACCCCAGGCTGGAGTAATAAAGCTCTGATTGCCTCCAGGGGAAGGACGCAGCTAGAGAAAGGACATTACAAAATAATAAAATAAACTACAATCAGCCAAATGACAACAAGGAAGGATGTTGTGGGGGATCTCCCGAGAACCTTGTTCTTAGTAATTACCCGCCAGTTACAGCCCTAACATGGTCGCTTTGTTTCTTTTTGCAGCCATTTAACCAAATAACCTTGAAGTATGCACAGCTATATGGCAAGACAGCTTGTTAGAAGCTCAAGAACTGGTATACTCAGGGCACACAAGTCAGCATGGGTCTCTTTAATTGCAGGGGCTACTTAAGCCATGAAATGTGACTTCTCACATGATAGGAGCCTGACTGAAGTGCCTGCCCAGCCCCGAGCTCTGACTACGCCTTGCTTGTGGATCCTTCTGCCTGCTAAAGCAGGGGACGCCTGCAGCAAGATGACATCTGGACCTGGCCTGGCAAGCACAGGAGGGAAGCTCTTCATGCTTGTCGCCCCCTTTGTTGCGCGGTTTTCCTTCAGGAAGGTGAAGGTGGAAGAAGATGAGAGGAGCCCGTTGTTACCAGAGGTAAACCCTGGGTTTGGGTTACATGCTGGCTTTGTGCTTCTCTTTGGAGTATGTGGGGGTCACGCTCTGAGACTCAGCTTAACTTCAAACCCGGAACTGATTTCAGGGGTCTTAGGAGCTCCTGTAAATAAAAGACTCCAGTGTTCTTCTTGGGGGGTTGGAAGGGGAGACGAAATCCTAAGCTCTGTTCTGCGTCAGGGAGGGACACATCTGGAGCATCTCCACTGAAGTCAAGAGCCACTCCTGACTTGTGCTGATGAGCCGGATTCTTGCCCTGGCTTAAATCTCTAAGGTTACAACGTGTTCCCAAAGTCATTCACTCCCTCCCCCACTCCGCCCCCCAGTTCTGCTCTCCATCTGCTGTGTGTTTCCCTTCCTATGCTTGCCACTAACGCTAATCATGTCTGGCATCAGGCTGAGCAAACTAAAGTGGACCTAGAGGCCTTGTTTGCCATGTGGCGTCATGAGGCTGGGTTCAGATTTCTGTCTCCAGCACCTGGGCTGGAATCAGCAAGCCTACCCCCTCTTCTGGTGGCGGCAAAGGGTTCCTCCTCCCAACATCTGTCCCTCACTCAAACCCTTCCGCTAGGCTTCCCAGTGAGTTGTCATGACACAGAGGCCCATTGGTGGTTCACTACTCTGTCAGCAAGTCCTACCAGGCCTGACAAACTCGCCATACCTAACACTCTGCTGTCATGGTGCTTACCCAAACAGTGATGTAAGGTATCAAAGGCAAGCTGATGGCACGCCGGTCAATAGCATCATAGTGAATTGTCTGTACTGACACTGTACAGGGAATTGTGTATCTGTATGGAAATAATGTTTTCAAGTCTGGAACAAGGCAGAGTGGACAAACAGCTGTTCTGCCAGGCAAAGGAAGCACCATTTGCATATTAAGTCAGGTTGGGAGAGGCTGTGAAACCGACATGGCAGAGCAGACTGGAGTGTGAACGCCAGGGGCCATCCTGACCGTGGGAGCAAAGACAAGAAACATTGGGCTATATAGGGAGATGCAAAGGAACATTTTGTTCTCCATTTGCTGGGGAAACCCTTGGAGGGCGTGGAGAAATCAGAGCAGCCTGGATCCTGGTATGACTGAAAACTGGCAGCTCAGTCCAAGAAGGAATCCTGGGAAGAAGCCTCCCTGGACTGACTCAGAAAGGGAACCACTAATCAGTTTAAAGAACAGGAGGACTTGTGGCACCTTAGAAACTAACAAATTCATTTGAGCATAAGCTTTCATGAGCTACAGCTCACTTCATCGGATGCATGCAGTGGAAAATACAGTGGGGAGATTTTATATACACAGAGAACATGAAACAATGGGTGTTACCATACACACTGTAACCAGAGTGATCAGGTAAGGTGAGCTATTACCAGCAGGAGAGAAAAAAGAAAAAACCAAAAAACACCTTTTGTAGTGATAATCAAGGTGGGCCATTTCCTGCAGTTGACAAGAACATATGAGGAACAGTGGGGGAGGGGGGGGGAGAGAGGGGGAATAGTTTTGCTTTGTGTAATGACACATCCACTCCCAGTCTTTATTCAAGCCTAATGTAATGGTGTCCAGTTTGCAAATTAATTCCAATTCAGCAGTCTCTCGTTGGAGTCTGTTTCTGAAGTTTTTTTGTTGAAGAATTGCAACTTTTAGGTCTGTAATCAAGTGACCAGAGAGACTGAAGTGTTCTCCAACTGGTTTTTGAATGTTATAATTCCTGACATCTGATTTGTGTCCATTTATTCTTTTACGTAAAGACTGTCCGGTTTGGCCAATGTACAAGGCAGAGGGGCATTGCTGGCACATGATGGCATATATCACATTGGTAGATGTGTAGGTGAACGAGCCTCTGATAGTGTGGCTGATGTGATTAGGCCCTATGATGGTGTCCCCTGTCTAGATATGTGGGCACGTAACTGTTCTCTTTCCACTGTCCGGGCCCGACACTCAAGTGACACGGTCACTCTCAGCTCTTTGTTCATAAACACGTATTTGCTTTCACCATAACTAGATCGCTGTGTGATGTTATTACAAAGGCCTGGATCCTTGTAGCCATCCGGCTGTGTGTACGCTGTCTCTTCAGGGACAGCGGCCTTGGTGGTCACTGTGAGTGTCCAGTGCTGGGGCTAGACACTGCAGCGAGAGGCTTCTGAGGCATTCGGGGACTGGGGTATGCCAAGGGCAGAGCTTCCAGGCAGATTGTCTGGGGGGCAAACAGGCTGGGGGGCTGACCCCCAGTTTAGCACTGAGGCAGGGGGGTAACAAGGTGACCCACCGTCCTGGCGGCCTGAGGGAGCATCCCAGAGAAATGTGGGAGCTTGGAAGGGAAGGCCAGAAGGGAACAAAGCAGAGCACTGTATTGCTCTGTCCTATCCCTCTGGGTTTGACTGGGGAAGATAGTATCACACATGTAAGCAATGACTCACTTACGCTGGAGTAAAACCAAAAGATCACAGCAAGGCAAAGCAAAACCACTGTAGACCGTGCCACCCGCAGGCCTCTGGGGCTGTCTACGGCTTCCACTTTGGCTTTTTAAAATGGGCTTTGTATTAACAAACAGGTATAAGGCAGTAACCACCTTGTGCAGCCCCGGGAGAACAACTGCTAAAGAAACGCTGCCCTCCATCTGGTAATAGAGCAGTGACTAGAGAACAGGCTATAGGGAACAACCTCTTCTGTTAGCCCTATTGCAGCCCAGTCCTGGCCCGGACCCCGCAGAGCCAGGCACTGGGCAAACACCAGCCTCTCTTCAGAGCTCTGAAGCCTCTCTTGCCACAGCTGCTCTTTTTCAGTTCAAGCTCTTTTCCCCTGCACACCCCACAAGTTTCTGCTGCAGCTAAGGAGCCTGGCTCCTTGTTCGCTCCTGGCAGTGAGGGATCCCTGCTCCTGCTCTCCCAGCTCAAGCAACAGTGGTGAGCCCAGACAGGAGCACTCACAGCTTTGGAGAGAATGGCCAGCTTTGGACACGTTTCCTTCTGGGGAACCCTCCCCCCAAACATAAAACTTGCAGGATATTTGTCCCTGGTCCCCTCACCTTTGCTAACTACCCCATACCGGGGCAGCTGATGGCCCTGTGCAGGACGGCCAACGTCAAACGTTCAAAAATCGGCGAGTCAGGCTCACTAAAAAACAGGAGATTGGTTTTAAAGTCAGGAGAGGAAGTAAAAACAATAGCTGTGGGGTTCATTTATTGGCCTTCTGCTCTCTGAGCCTTCGGGTGCCTGGGGGGGGGCAGGGGGGTCACACCTGGGAGTTTTCTGCAGAGCCACGAGGGCTAGAAACTTACTTTTCCTTTAAAGAATGAAGGCTGGAGTCATCACGTCGCCACTTGACTCCAGGAGCTGGGGCTTTAAGGAAACAATAATTATCATGGCAAAATCCTGAGAGTTGGCAACACTGCAGGTGCGTTGCTGTGCCCTGAGACTCCTCACTCTTCCGACACACAACACAGTCGGTGTCTGAGAGCTTTGGAGCGAAGCATCAGACCCATTTCACACAGTGTCATGCACAATAGCTGCAGATTAGCCGAGAAGAGAGGCTGTTCAGGAAGCTGGGTGCTGACTGAATGGGGTGCCAGTTTTGTATGAGAAGGAATTAAATAGCTGAAGATCTAGCTATTGCTCCTATGACGTCATAGCACGTTCATTCTCTCCACTGGCAAATCCAGGTACAGTTTGCAACTCTTCTGTACCCCATTCTACCACAAAGGGCTTGCCATGCTAATGGAGGCCATTTGAAATGTTCGCTTCCTTAAGCAATAGTTGTGCCGGGGAATCGAGGCTTAACCCAATGCATTAAAATCCTGCTTAAGGCTCATAATGAGGGAGGCTGAAAAAAACAAAAAGTTTTGAGGGATGGGGAAAGCGATAAAGTTTAAGTGCAACAGAGAAAAACTTTAGCCAAGACCAAATCTTGTCCAAGCGCCCCACTGGGACAAAGCTTCCCAGAAGAGAGGACATGCTTGTGCTTTTCTGCTCCTCATTAAGCCAGGAAATGATCTGTTCTCTCTCTCTCTCTCCCACCAATCAGACCCGCAAACCGGACAAGCTGCTTTCTTCATCCAATGTCCGTGGCCCCCTGTTCTTTCCCACTGGAGACCCAGACGCTGGATTGCCTGAGAAGCACCCAGGAAAATGGGATCTTCTACTGCCCCCCGGCCACAACCTGGATTCCTGCAGCTATTGCATTAAGTACCTGACCTTCCTCTGGAACCTCTTGTTCTCTGTGCTGGGTTTGCTGATCTTGGCCTTTGGGATCTGGGGGCTCCTGGACAAGGAGTCCCTGGTAAGTGAGCGTATAGCCCACCTAGGCTCTGACCCCATGCTCTTCTTTGTCCTGGTTGGTTTGGCTGTCAGCACCATCTCTCTGGCAGGCTGCATGGGAGCGCTTTATGAAAACACCTGCCTGCTGAAGTTCTTTACTGGGGGAGTCATCACTTTTGTCATCTTGGAGATTCTAGGTGGGCTCGTACTGTATTCTCTGAGACAACAGATCAAGGGTTCCCTGCAGAACACCATGCTGGTGGCTGTCCTAAGGTACCAGGATGACCCAGATCTGAGATTCATCATGGACGAAATTCAGATGGGCTTGCAATGCTGTGGCGTGGAGTCCTACCAGGACTGGAAAATGAACGTGTGAGTACAAAGGTTTGGGGTACAGCCACATTGTCTGGCTCACTTGGGAGGCAGTGGAAAATCTCGGCTTTGGGCAGTCCATTTATCCAGCCTAGCAAAGCACTGTGGCATTCCTAGTCCAAATTCTCTTTGCAAGCAGGAGAGCCAGCAGTGACTGGCTCAGCTCCTGGCTACAAGCTCATGCTGCAGCTGTCTGTGCAGCTTCCTAGCATGTCAGGCTGAGTGCTCGCAAGGGGCGTGGTACAGCCATATGCCTTCAGCCTCGCTTATGCTGCATCTTGTGGAGGCTCCTTGCAAAGCTCATAGGAAACTTACCAGCCAAGGCACAATCTGTGCCCCCTCCTTTCTGTATTGTGATCTGACTTGCTGAGTGCGAGTATAGATCTCCACAAGGTATTTGTAAAGCACTTGTGGGCCTGGCCTCCATAGGGCGGCTCTCCGTGTGGACTGAGAGCCGGGGGGTGGATAGACACTGTCAGAGCTGTTGTTCTCACACGAGGAGTGAGCTGATGAGATTGGGCTATGGGAAGATGCTGGTCTACAGTGCTGGAGCCCCAAACTTCTCCACTTTCTCCTACAAGGGAGGCTCTTTGCTTTGCTTTTTCTTCTTACAACAACCTGATGAAACTCCAGGGCAGGGCAGGGAATCCCCGGTGCAAGCTCAAGGCTCTGGGCCTGCCCTCTATTGCTTGGCTGGCTGGTGCGTTTGTGTATGGTGGGGAGCCTTTATCTCCTGGTGGGGTGTGGGAGTGGGGGTGGGCTGAGGAAATGACACCATTAAACCAACCTGAGACAGGTGCTGGCAGGTAACGTTCCCGTTCAGGTTCCAACCACCAGCCCCAGACCTGTGCTCCGATTCGAGCCTAGTGCAGCATGGCCCACTCAGCAGAGGGGTCTCAGACTAGAACCACTGCAGCCTTTCCTGGCCATGGGAGATGGACCCCAAAGCTGCAGCTCAGGATTCTCTGCTCGTAGTGAGCAATGCCAGTTCCTGCAGTGGTGAGCACACAAGCACTTGGGTCCTCGAGTCACCCCCAGAGAGACTGACGGATTCTCCTTGTTCACCCGCAGGTATTTTAACTGCAGCTCCCCAGGTGTGCAAGCCTGCGGCGTTCCCGCTTCCTGCTGTCTGAATCCCCTGGAGAATGGCACCATCACAAACTCCCAGTGTGGCTTCGGAGCCCTCGGCATGGAGGAGGTTGCAGCTCAAAGTATCATCTCCCTCGGCGGCTGCGTGCCCCAGCTGAGTCGGTGGCTTCACGGCCATGGGGGGGTGCTGAGCGCCTACTTTGTGTTTCTGATCCTGGTTGAAGTTGGAGGCTTATTATTGGCAACCAAGTTACTGGCAGACCTGGCATTTGTCGGAGCGCTAGGGCAGCAGCCCAGGGCTTGGTGACTCACCGCATGTGGCTGGAGGTCAGGGTTGGATCCTGGGGCGGAGCCTCGGGCCCAGAACCGCTCTCCAGCATGGCAAGATGGACGGTCTGGGCCCACTGCTGAGCTCAGGTTCTCCGAGGCCTCGCTGCGTGGGAAAGGTTGTTTAGTATAAGCTCCTGTGTGAACCGAAGCCTGGCTGGTTGTCTCGGTGTAACCCCCTTGGTGGACACACGGATTGCAGTGTGAAACGGCACCATCATTCCAGCTTGTGTCGCGTGAAAAGGGGGTGGACCTAAGCCAAGAAAAGCCCCTCGTGCACTGGCAGAAGGGCCGCTGTGGGGAGAGGGGTTTAGTTCTGGGACTAGTCTGGCAGAGGCAGGGAACTCCACTGGCCCCACTGAGCCTGCTTCAGCGGCTCCCTGGGCTGCAGGAGGTGGGAGCGGAGCCCTCCGTGCCTGGCTGGAGCAGCAGGGTGTGCGCAGGAGAAACAGCCCAGCGGCACCACCCCTGCCTCCGACCGCTGCTAGGAGACCCTCTCTCAGCGGCTCTGACCTCAGTCACGGAGGGGGAACTCCAGGCGAGTGCAAGGCTTCCTATGCCACCCCGTCTCCAGCCCTGGGTGCAAATGCTGCTGCTGCCTCCCATCTCCTGCTTGCTGGGGGGAGGCCTTACGCCTGCCCAGCTGGGGCTGGAAAGCTTTGTAGTTACCTGGCAAATAAATGTCTGCCTGTACCGTGGCTGTAGCTGTGCGTGGCTATGGAGGAGGGGAGTGACTGGGAAGGGCCGCCCCTGGCAGGGAGATACCACGCAGGGCAGACAGGGCGAGTGAGCCCACGAGGAGCGACAATCGCCAAGTCCCACGGCTCCGCTTTTAGAAACCGCGGCCTTGCCGGTCTAGGCCGGACGTGCCCAGCGGTGGCCATCTCGCTTCCCCTTAAGACCACTCCTGGCTGTGGGAAGTGAACGGCCAGTTTGCCCCACCCTCACCAGGGGTGGGGGGGTTAAAGGCCCAATCCAACAGCTCCCTCCGCTGACTGCGCCGGGCCTCAGCCAGGCCTTGCAATGAGATGCAGCCTGCAGAATAGAGCTTTGGTCCTGCTTGTCTGTGCAGGGATGACCCTTGAATGCCCAGTGTGCTGGCTGGCTGGCTGGCTGGCTGCCCCGGCCCTGCCACACCCTCCCCTTCCAGCACAGCTGACTCAGAGGCTCCCAGGTTCCCAGTTCCTTCCCCTCCCGCTCCCAAGGGCAATCTCCAGGTGACTAATGTTTGCCCAGCACTTGGAGGATGTGGAGTGCTCAATTAGGGCTTTGTGCTGAGTGGAAAACTGCCCCAGCTGCTCCCTCTGCCTCGCCTCTTGGATCAGCTGTATCAGTTATCTGTGAGCTCCCAGCTTCCAGAGCCCCTTCCACAAGCAGCTCCTCTCAAATCAATAGACTTCTGTGCACACCACGAAATGCCTTGAACCTTGGCCCCCTCTCTGGTCACCCAAGCAGCCAGGGTTTATGCTACCTCTGTGGAGCCCACCCCCTGCTCCTTACCAGCAGCCTGCAAGCAGGAAGTTCTTTGCTCCTCCCCATAGGTGGCTGCATTTCCCAAGGGCTGCCTGCTTCTTGCCTGAGAAGCATGTTTTGAGACAAGGGGCAGGGGAAGTTTTAAGGAGGAGAGCTGCCTGGCCTTGCGGGGGGATGTCTGTCTGTCTAAAAGCATTTTCACTGGAAAAGGAGGAGGGGTTGGGGGGGGTGATGCCTGGGTTTTGGCAAGTGCCAGTCATTAGCCCTGTATAATCCACCCTCTGCAGTTTATATAATGTAAAGCTACCCTGGCTCCTGCCTCCTGCAGAGAGAACCTGCCCAGCCCTAGGCATCTCGGGGCATAGACAGCTGTGAAGAACATCACATAGACAAGGCCGCTAATACACAACAGAGGGAGGATCATTCTACACCTCACACTGCGGACTCAGCACCCCACATTCCCTCCTGTTTATTTCCAAGGCTGCAGCACCAGTGAAAATTCCAGGGCTTTCAAACAATTAGCACTCATGTTAAATGCCAAATCCCACCGGCCTGGCTCTGGCTTAACTCCCAGCAGGCTGGGCAAGCTGAGAAGTGAAAGAGATTGGTGGTACACAGCATGTCTTGGGAAAACCCTGTGTTAAGCAACATGTCCAAGTGGAGTGGGAGACTCTAGGGTGGAGTAGAGCTGGCTCGGAAAGCACAGAAGCCAGGTAAGACTCAGGACAGATTCAACTAAGCATGTTTATTTTAAAGAGCTTTTTCAGGCTGGTCTCGTCACGAGCTGCAAAAGCAGCTGCATCACCCTCTGTATAAATAGTGACACCTCCGTGGGCTGCCAGGAGACACATGCCTCAATTCTGAGCTCAGGGGCTGGCTAGATGATGCCGTACTGCGCCAGCTCATGGAGTTCCAGGTGACTGAAAGCTTCCCAGGGGCAAATCACGGTGATGTCTGAAAGGGGAAAACCAGAGAGGCAGGGGTCAGCGTGAGCCAGGATCTGGCGGCTGTCTGGGAAAAGCACTCTCCCCAGCACAGCTGCTTGGCACATTGTACCTGCTGTGGGCGCCCCTAGTCCCTGTTCAAATGGGGCTTATTCCACAGCAGCGCGACCTGCCTTTTCAGTGGAGATCGGTGCCATGGGGCTGGGGGCTGTTTACCCACGGCAGAGCTCTCCCCGTGGCACTCCGCCTTTGCCACCCAGCTGTTCTGGAAGTTCATTCCATGGGGAAGGGGGCCTGCCAAAGGGGGAAGGATGGGGCGGCAGAGGGAAGTAAGGCACAAGTTCAAGTCCTGCTTTAGGCCATATTTGAACTTGACCCATGTATGTGACACCTGGTTCCATTTATCCAGAAGCAAACCCAGCCAGGACATGGCTGGCAGCCACTTCTCAGGAGGGTACCAATGGGGGTGGGGAGCTGCAGGTCAGGGCTGAGCTGTGGGTGGTGAGTCCAGCACAAGCCAAGCTGGGAGTGGTGGAAATGCAGAGTTGGGTAGATATCTGCACAGCTGTGGGCCTTCCCCCCAGGACTGAGGTGCCTCTGCCGTGCGGGGTGGGGGCGCCCTGGCCCAGGGCTGGCTACAGCTGGTGACGTTAATCTCTCCCTTTCATGTGCAACACATTCCCTATTTCCAAACCAGTCAAGCACCAGCTGCTCGGTTACCTGTTCCCAGCCCCTCCATGCCAGGGATGTCATCACCGAACCTGCAAGGAGAGACACCATTACATCACTCTCCCCGCCCTGGGCTCAGCCTGGAGCATCCCTGACCACCCCCAGCGATCTGTGACCCCCAGCTCTGCGTGGAGGGGTGTGAGACGAGGGGCTGGACAAAGGGAGCATCTCCAGCACATACCCCTCGCTGGCCAGAAACCCAGCCTTGAAAGAGCCCCTTGTTTGAGTCCCCAGCGCCGTAGGGCAGTGGGGTGGCTGCGGCTCTTTGCACCCCAGGGGAGAATGGAGCTCTTGACAGCTCACTCCGGGTGTGGAGCCTTTGCAGAGGACCTTACGCTCACGCCCTGTCTGCTCTGCAGAATCCCGCTGCTGCGGTGTCCTGCGTGAACTGCTGAGCCCCAGGCTGGCTGTATCTTCCTGGCCATGGCCAGTGAACGGGCAAGAGGGGCGAGAAGACGTTCACGACTCTGGTTCTCATTTAGCTGCTGTTCGGGGCACTCCTTTGTCTTTGTAAAGCCCCCACCAAGGTCTCCCTGGGCGGGTGCCAGCTGCTCTCTGAAGGGCTAACCTAGCCAGGCTCCCCTCCTGTTGCATTGTTGGACTGTCCTGCCACCCTGACCTGCTCGAGTCCCCTCTAGCCTCACATGGGTTGCCCTAAATTCCACTGTTCGGGGGAAGAGTGGATGGGGGCGGGGCTCTGCTGTGACAATGCCCCGCACCTGAGCTCTCTGAGGATTAAATGCTCAGGGGTTCCAGCTGTTCCTCATGGGGGGCAGAGCCCAGGCCCAGAGGTAAGTCCTGGCCAGAAGGGGCTGGCAGCGCACAGAGCCCCTGGGTTAGGCAAGTCAGTGCTGGCATATGCAGGGGACCATGCCCTGGCTGCTCACTGGTACTGGGGGGGGGAGACCAGACTCTGAGTGAGCAACCCTCCCATCCTATGTGCTCACCCTTGGGTCCCCTTCTTGGGTGGCTTGCTCTTGAACTGCCTGGTTTGCCTCTGCTTGAATTTGGGGGGCCCTTTCCTGGGGGTGGCTGGCCCTCCAGTCACCCCGGTGGCTGACTTGATCTCCAGCTTGGGGGGCTCCAGGCTCATGGCTGCAGTGGGGTGTCAGCTGCTGGTGCAGTCCCCCTGGCTCCAGGTCCCGGCTTCTCCCTGCAGGTCACAGGTTTGGAGGCAGAAAGAAGGAAAGACAATTGGCCATGTGAAGGGAGCAAGGAGATGGCGGCCCACACGGTGCCCGCTGAGATAGGCCACCAATGCAAACGTCCCATGGCGTTCCTGGGTGGGCTAGCAGCAGCTGGAAGGGGATCTAGATGCACAAGTCTCTATGCCTGACCCAGCCCTCTTAGCCAAGTGTGTAGCAGCGGGCTCCTCAACCCAGCTGCCGCTAGAGGGGGGACACAGCGGCACCCTACGGGTGTGGGTCACCCAAGGCTGCTCGCTCCTGGGAGCAGAGAATGTGGGTGCAATGTGGGTGGTGCATGGGACCACAGCTCCCTCTAGTGGCTGACTCACTAACTGACGGCCTGTTACCGCTGTAGCTTGTGGGGCAGGGGGATGTGCTTTCTGGTGCTCAGCAGCCACAGTTCAGTCCCCACCCATGACGGAGATTTTCAGTGCCCGCAAGGGGCTGTAGCTACCCAGGTCCTGGGAATGAATGGGAGCTGGGTGGCCAACCCCCAGTCAGCTCTGGTCAGGGGGCTGGTGCATACAAGAGGCCAAGGACAGTGCTGGCTAGCTGGGGAGTGGGAATGCAAACCCCTCCCATGCCCTTTAAATGAAAGTTTTAGCCACTCACCAGCCCAGAGTGGGCCAGGGCTCCGTTCCATGGCTCAGTGACCCATTTGCCAGGCCCCCCGCCCCTGCTGCAGAAGAAAAGCTCCTGCAACCTTGGAATTAGCTCAGCTCAGACAGCTCTAAGCTCATTATTGCAAGGACAATGACGGCACTAGGGAACATGGGACAAACCGGGGGCTTTAGTGTCTATTTCTTTAGACAACAAATCCCTGAAGTTACAACTATTTGCTCCTTCTCCCCCGGCCCCCAACGTCCCGACTCCCATGCCAAGCCTGTCGGGAACCTGGGGGCAGAGAGGGCTGAATGAGTCTGGGCGGCTCTTTGCTGGGTGCTGTTATTGCTTCTGACACTGGGTGCTGGGAGCAGCTGGTGTCCTAGCAAAGGGAAGATCTGAGCATGCAAGGTCAGCTGGCTGCTGGGACCAGCACTGTGCAGAGGTCTCTTCCTGCCCGTTAGTGCTCAGAAAGCCCTGGGGCCCCACGCTTAGCTGTGTACATGGTGGATAATGTACCACAGCTTGTTAACAAGGATGGGAGCAGCACCTGTGTGGGACTGAAATGTCCCTGCTGGCTTGTTTTAAACTGTGTGTTTGCAAGGACAAAACAGGTCCTTTCTCCCTGGGACTGCGGGCCCTGATCCAGCACATTTATCAGTATGGACTGCTGCAAGCACGGGCGTTATTGGGCCCCAATTGAGCTAAAAGTCATATATATTTAAAAAGACAAAGATCCAGGTCTACAGCTAATGCGTCGCAAGATTAGCATTTGAAATGAGCTCTCAGAGACCATTCGTTGTGGATGCTGCTGTTGGCATGTCCGTTCTCTTGGGCAGTGAAAATAGACTAGTCGAGAGACAGTTTGATCATGTAATGAAAGACTGTCCCCCGCTGCATACCCACCAAGGGCAGAATTAAGGTTACATAGGCAAGCTTAATTCTGGCATTTTCTAACTTTTGAGGGCAAGGATGGAGCTGTTAGGAGATAAATATAAAGGGACATGATAAAAGAATACAACATAATGACAATAATGAAAATACAGGTAGGTGGCTTCAATGTATCCTTCTGAGCACAAGAAGAAGCCACTCAATCAGCAAAAAGCAGCAGATTTAAAACCAATCTGAGGAAATAGTTTACACGGGGCCCAGTTCTTCCACAGAACTCATTGCCACAAGACGCCATTGAGGCCACAAGCTCAGCTGGACTCACAAAAGACTGAATGGGGTAATGAAAACATCCAGGAGTTAAAAACAATCCCCCACCCCCAAGGTTTGGAAGGGCCCTAACCCTTCATGTTTCAGGGCATGAACTGACCTTTGAAAGGAATAGGTGGTGGAAGTGTTATTCTATAATTGTCTGGGGGTAGGGGGAGCTTCTGAAAAAGCTGGGGCTGGCCACTGGGGTAGTTGGATCTCTGCTCTCGTCCAGCCTGCCAATTTGCGGGTTACTGCACTCCGGTCGCCCACCTTAATGCTGCTCTTTTACTAGTCGCTGTGCGGGACCCAGTGATTGCACTATTAGTTCCTGTGAAACATGAGACCGGTATAACGGGGGGGAGTGCAGCACCCCATGACTTCTCCTCCGGCCCGATCGTACCTGGGAACCCAAACTCGCCTCCATGTTGCCAGCTCTCATGGTTTGATCACAAGTCTCAGAGCTGGTGTTTTTCTTCAAGCCCCAGTCCCCCTGCATCATGTCATTACACAGGAATTTCAGCGTAGTAATTTTCGAGCCCTCAGGGTGGCATACGAAACACAAACCCTAGAGGCTCAAAGACCAGAGAAGGAATAAAAAAAACCCTCCCCCATTTATTATTTTTTAAATCATGATTTTTTAAGCCAATCTTGTATTTTTTTGGGAGGGCAGGGCGCTGACTCATGGTTTCTTGAATGCTCGGGGTGGGTAAATTACTATCATTCCATTGTGTCTAATGGAGGGGCTTCTGCAGCAGTGTCATCCTTCTGTCCCCAAGAAACGTCTCAGTTCTGGGACGCGTTCCAGCGTGAAACAAGCCAAGTATTGACAGTTACAGTCACTCCCAAGTAAAACCACAGGCAATTTAGCAAGGCAGATATAATTTGTGAAAGGAGAGATGAGTTTCTAAAGGCCAGATAGAATACAGAATCGTAGAATATCAGGGTTGGAAGGGACCTCAGGAGGTCATCTAGTCCAACCCCCTGCTCAAAGCAGGGCCAATCCCCAATTTTTGCCCCAGATCCCAAAATGGCCCCCTCAATGATTGAACTCACAACCCTGGGTTTAGCAGGCCAATGCTCAAACCACTGAGCTATCCCTCCCCCCAGTGCTGGTCTCCCAAAGCCCGTGGGCTAGTATGCTATCCCGCAAGCAGCCCTCCCAGGTTACTCAATAGCTGACTAGTCCCTGGGCATTGAGAGGCTGGATTCTAGCCCCTAGTGTTTATTTCTCGTGGATAAATGATCCAAGTTACGAGGTGCCTCCAATGAAGCTTGGGTCTTCAACAGTGAGTGCTGTTTCCAGCCCCTTTACATCCATGAAGCCTGTGAGGGATTTCAGCAACCCCCTGACCAAGCCACCTGTGCAGTTACTATCTGTTCACAAACGCCGCCCCTTCCAAAGACTGTCCTCCTGGCTTCCCCAGCTGCGGGGCATCTCATTCCCCTCGCTCTGTGTTCTGTGATCAGTGGCATTCCCTTCCGTTACCAACACCTCTCACGTGGGGGGGTCTGGTCTACCAGGCTGGAAAGGGACCCGGGGCTGCGAGTCAGGAGACTTGGATTCTAGCCTTGCCTTTGCCATATCCTGGTTACATCACTTCACTGTGCTCTTCACCCCACTGGCTGGCTGGCGTATTCAGACTAAGCCGTGTGTGTGCTGAGTAGCCCCTAGCACACCGGGGCTCTGATCTGGCCGGGGGCCGCTAGGTGCTATTTCAGTGCAAATAATAAAGTTAAGCACAGGTGGAATCTATTAAGCAGTGTCCCGGGCAACAGTGCAACATGTGCCTGTTTGCAGGATGGGGCCAGGGTCAGCAGCTGTTGCGGTTCCCCTCTCTAACAAGGCCAGTTTAACTACTGGCTCAGAAACATTTGGGGACTGATTCACAGCCACTGAAGGCAGTGGGAGTCTTCCCATCAGCTCAGGGGCTTTGGAGCAGGCCCTCAGCACCTAAATCCACAGCAAGCCAGAGGAAAAAAAACTCTGCAAACAACTGGACAAGTTTGTGTATCCTTCCTCCTCTGCAAATCCCCAGAGCAGCGCTAATCCGAGCAGGGCTGTTCTCCTGGGTGGCAGGGCAAGATATCAATATTTCTGCAGATACTAGCCATGGGCTAGCAGGCCTGATGGGGCTGACAACAGCCGCAAGTGGGCGGGAGGAGTCCCCCTCCGTTCCTTAGAGGGGAAACGACTTGCTCCGTAACAAATGATTGCAAGGAGAAGGGGAACGGATCGACACTTGGGGCTCCCCCGGCAAGAGCAGCCAGTCAACACTCTCCCATTCAAAACATTTTTCAACAAAAACCAGCCTTTTTGCAAAAGGAACATTTCCCTTCTCTCTGAAATTTTCTAGGACCTGCCCCCCCCGCAGCCCCGTTTTCAGGGGTTTTTCCTTCCCCAGGATCCACCCACCCCACTTCCCAGTTTGCAACTGGAAAAGGGGAAAGAGCAAAAAACCAAAACATTTCAGTTAAAAAGAATCCCAGAAAATTAATGTTTTAAACATTTTCTCTGAAAAAACACCCATCGTGACCAACTCCGATCCTGAGCCTTTGTCTGACCCTCGGAAACAGACCGAGCTGCCCAGAGGTTTGCTAGGGACACTTGGCTGCTCCTTCAGCAGGCTGGAAGTACAACGACAGCTTAGAGCACCCTAGCGATTTTGGTTCTTCGGCGCCTGTCCAGACTAGCTACCTTGGACCATTTCACGCCAACAGCCTGATCAGGTTCGAGTCCATCCCGCACTGGCGAACGGCACCATGGCCTAGAATAACGACTCCCTTCACCTCTCCAAACTCCTCGGATCACTTGGCATCCACAGTGGAGGGACCGACTAGATTTTAAAGACCAAGGAAAGGAACCACAGTCTCACGCAGGGTGGCAGAAGTAGACAGGCAGGGACATAAGCAAGATGGAGACTGGAGCACAATGACGCCTTACGTACGAAGCCGAGGAACAGCGGCACTTGGTGTATTCAAAGCAGAGGGGATTACTTACCCCACTGCAGATGTTTCACAGGGCCAGCTGCACTGGGCTGGTGCTAGCCCCAGCCAGCTGTGACTGTCAGCGATGGGTCCGTGTCCTATAGACGACACTCTGGATGGTTCTTGCGGGCCGGTGGGTTTATTCTGCTCCTGGATAATAGGATTATGACCCTTCCTTTAAAATGGGTAAGCTGATTTAATTTCTAATGGTATGTACATCGTTTGGGGTGGGTGAGAGGAGCATGTGGGTGAGAGAGAGGGCGTTGGGGTAATGCTATTGTAACACGTTGTCCGTTCCCGCCCATTTGATTGTGTATTTTATTGTTCCACAGGGGCATTTGCTCGACTCTCTGGCTCTGTGCAATATTTCAGTGTGCAGTGCTGTGTCTGGGGCAGAATAATTCTTAGCAAATAATTTATCGGATGGATTTTGCCTCCTCTTCAGTCTAGAAGCTTGTTGTTGGGAGATCCCTGGCTGGCAATCAACGACCCAGGAGTTCCCGTGAGCAGACTTCAGCCTGCAGCTTGACCGTCACAAATATTCCAGACAGCGGAGCTAGTCTGAGCGCAGGATCCTTGACTGACCCTGTCAGAACCTGCTGTCCCAGCTGTCAATTTAAAACGTGCTTTGCACAAATCTGCAATACTGGGGACCAATGGGCCGATTCTCAGAACCCTTCTGCCATCAACCACATTTGCTAGAAGACCATGCAAAGCGCCTGCAATGGGGCTCAAAAAGTGGGCCCAGATCTTTGCAGTGTTCACCAAGCTCTGCCTATGGGCACATGACATTTCCCTTTCCGACTTATGTGTATTGCCATATGGTTAGAGGGCTCACCCCTGGATCCCGGCCCACTGCGCTAGGTGCTGCATGCACATGTATTCAGACAGCCCAAAGAGCACACAAGCTCAGCAAAGACATTAATTAATAGCAGATAAAGTGCAATTAGCGTGACACCAAAAAGACCAGGAGACGAAGTCCCTGCCCCGAGCTTCTTACAAGACAGAAAACCCCATGATAACAAGGGATGGGCCCCAGATTCAGTTCATATGGATCCCAAGCTACTGTCCGATCTTGAAAAACAGTGAGGTCACCAAGGGCCTGGGACTCTGGGATGCTACCCCATACGACAGCATCCTCCTGGCCGAGGCTAGCAATGTTGTAAGGCCCCCTCCTGGGCAGATGAAGTCAATGGAAGCCGCAGGGCCCTGAGCCACCTGGAAAAAAAAATCTGACTACTCACTTAGCAACCAAGCATGGATTCAGGTGCCTCCCTTTGCAAATGCTGGCCGCAGGCACTAATGCAAAGGCCGGTCGTCACTGCTGGGTGATTTGCTGTTTGGTATTCTTAGGAACCTAGGAATTGCCAGGGTGGAGCAGAAGAAAGGGGGGAGGGATAGCTCAGTGGTTTGAGCATTGGCCTGCTAAACCCAGGGTTGTGAGTTCAATCCTTGAGGGGGCAATATAGGGAAGTGGGGCAAAAATTGGGTATTGGTCCTGCTTTGAGCAGGGGGTTAGACTAGATGACCTCCTGAGGTCCCTTTCAACCCTGATATTCTAAAAAAAAAAAAAAAAAAAAAAAAAAAAAAGGGTCCACCAAGTTCATTCCCAGGTGCTCGACCGCGGCCACTGCTAGCTGCTGGCTCCATAGTGGGCATGTTATTCCTTATCTGTCCACTGGGGAAGTTTCTTTCTATCCCCTAGTAGTGAAGCATGAAAGTGGATATCCCTTCCCTGTTTTAATCCTATCACTGTAGGTGTTCCCCATTCTCCATAGGACTGTCTAATCCTTTTCTGACCACTGCTAAGGTGTTGGCCTCTGTGACAGGGAGTCCTATGGGTCAACTGACTATCAAGCATTAAAAAAGTACTTCTGATCACTGCTCAATTTCTTGGAAAAGCAACTCCTTGGTCTTTGCCCAGGTTTCCTGTGGAAGCACCAGTTTGTCTGCTGGATGAGTATCATTCCAAAGCTAATCCCCTTGCACTAAAGCAATTATAAAAAGGCATAATCTCAGGACACTTTAATTGAACTTCAGGCCCTTCCACTAATTACAATTAGTTAGGCTTCAGCAAATAGGATTATGCGAATCCAGGAACGTTTTAAGGACACCAGCTGAACTGGTTACTTGTCTGATAAAGACAAGGACTCCTGTTAATTATTGAGTCCATCTTGAGTTTTATTAGCGCACACTGCTAAACAGCTAGCAGGTCTTAGTGGCACCCGCTTCGTTAGCCAGATTCCGCAGCTGGGGGGAGGGCTGAGTTTCTGTCAAGATTTCATTAAAAACCTCAAACTCTGCAGCCAAGCAGAGCAAGGGCACTGCTCTGGCGGGCTAAGTTTTAGGGCGGCTGGTGCTTTGTGACCCAGACCCCTTAGCAAATGGGAGGAAAATGCTGTCATTTAGCACAAAGAACGTGGGACAGATTCCACCACAGCCTCTATACACCTCTCCAGGGTGCACATGGAGGGGGAGGAGGGAGATCTGTGGTGCCCGGTGCGGCAGGAAATTCCACAGGTGCAAAGCCTTGAATCACCCCAAGCAGTTCTGACTCAGCCGCCTTGCCAGGTGGGGCACAGGAGGTGGGGCTGGATGTATGCGAGGGGAGCCTCTGCAGCACATGCCACTACGGAGCTTCTGTGCTGTGCCAGATGGCACGGCAGCTGCTAGGCAGCTCTTGGAAGGTGCTGCAAATTAGAGCTGCCCTGCAGCTGCTCTTATTTATGCCTGCGCCATTTTGACCATCACAGCAGCCCGGAGGCACAAATGTGGCCCTCCCAGGGAATACTACTGTCACTTGGCGGTTATGCACTAGGCTCTTCAATTCCAGCCACCAAGCAGCTGGGTGAGGAAGCAGTGCATATTGAGAGGGGAACCCAGCTGGCCATGCATCAGGGGAGAGAGAGGAACATTTATCTAGACTACAGCAGGGGTTTTAAAAAGGGCTAAGGGACAAACTCCCAGAGAATGGGGGATTTGGGTGTTGAATTCGTCGTCCCCTTTGGGATTCCCAGCCTAGATGTTAAACAAATATTTTTAAAGCAGCGTACTTCACGTTTTGTCTCACGCTTAACTCAGTAGTTAAGCGTGAGACAAAACGTGAAGTAGCAACAGCTAGGAGCCCAGGTCCCGGGCCAGGGTCCCGTCACAGTAGGTGTTGAACAAGCCCAGAACACAAAGGCAGGCCTAGAAGAGGTTCACATTTTTAAGCACACGGGTATGAATTTATTCTCACTCAATTTCTGCCAAGTACTGTAACTCATGCCAACAAATAATGGCAATCCTTTACCAACTAGTGGTCAAGCTGGGTTCTCGAGCCCAGGAACCAAGCTTCAAAGGAGATGGACAAATTATGTTAAATAAGGAGCCTTTTCGGAGAAGGGACAATAAATAAATATGGGCACTTTCTCTCTGGAGTTTGTAGCGCCATGGGAATAGAGGAGCCATGGCAGGGGCCAACAGCTTAAACTGTGCGCATCAGTCTTTCTTCATACGGAATCTGATTTCCATCTTTAAAATCATTTTAATGTTCTCATCTTCTATGTGCTTTTCCACAGCGGCTAAGGCCTGTTCTCCCCCATCCTGGTAGTGTTTCAGCAGCTCCTCTGCATATGCAATCCAAACGCAGTTGTGGCAGCCGCTCATACAGCAGTTAGTGGGGGGAAGGAGCGTTGGGGGCTTGGAAAAGGGGGGCTCTGTGTCTTTCAAAGGCTCGGAGAGCCCTGCAGCGCAGGGCTCTCCGTCGCTCTGCTGGGGATCAGTCTGAGAGCCATCTCCTCGGGTCTCTGAATGGCTTTGATGGTGGCTAAAATCTGCTTTTGACAGGTCCACGGAAAGTCTCCGAACGCTGCAGAAGTAGCTTTTCAGGTGGTCTCTGCGAGGTAGCCTGTCCCAGAGAGGACACCCACATCTCTGCAGTCTCCAGCGCTCGGTGCACCTGAAGAGTTGTAGATTTACCTGGCAATTAATAACAAACTTACAAGAGAGGTCGAACTGTCACACGCTGAGGACTCCGCACAGCCGGGTCTGGTCTATCGTTCTGATGGCCATCTGCGCCGATGGGACTATCCACACGGCCCCTGGGGTGGGCCCAGCAGCTCGCCCAGCACCGGGCAAGGCTCGCAGCCCCTCTCACAGCGCCCCGGCCGCAGGAGCAGCTCGGTGCGGGGAGGAAGGCAAGAGTCGGCCCACCAAGTGCCCTTGATAATCCCGTACTGGGGATGGAGGAGATGGGTCCAAAGACAGACAGGAGATCCCTCCGCCTCCAAACAGCCTCCTTCCCCTCCGCCACATACAGCCCTCCTGCTCCAACTTTCCTCCCCCACACAGCCTCCTTCCCCTCCCCCATCCAGCCCCCCCGGTCCCCTCCCCCATACAGCCCCCCCACTCCAACCCCAGCGCTCCTGCTCCCATGCCAGCTCCCCTCCCCCATACAGGCTCCCCTCAGTCCAGCCCCCCCCTGCTCCCATGCCAGCCCCCCCGGTCCCCTCCCCCATCCAGCCCCCCTCACTCCAGCCCCCCCCGCTCCCATGCCAGCTCCCCTCCCCCATCCAGCCCCCCTCACTCCAGCCCCCCCGCTCCCATGCCAGCTCCCTCCCCTCCCCCCCCCCCCCCCCCCCCCCCCCCCCCCCCCCCCCCCCCCCCCCCCCCCCCCCCCCCCCCCCCCCCCCCCCCCCCCCCCCCCCCCCCCCCCCCACCCCCCCTCACTCCACCCCCCCTCCCTCCACTCCCCCCCTCCACCCCCCTCCCCACCCCCCTCCCACCCCCCCCCCCATCCACCCCCCTCACTCCACCCCCCCCCTCCCACCCTCCCCTCCCCCATCCACCCCCCGTCCACCCCGCTCCCACCCCCCCCCCCTCTCCCATCCACCCCCCTCACCCAGCCCCCCCTCCCATGCCAGCTCCCCTCCCCCATCCAGGCCCCCCCAGTCCAGCCCCCGCTCCCATCCAGCCCCCCGGTCCCCTCCCCCATCCAGCCCCCCTCACCCACCCCCCCCTCCCATCCCCCCTCCCCCATCCACCCCCCCCTCCCATGCCCCCCCCCCCCATCCAGCCCCCCAGCCCCCCCCCCACCCCCCCCCCCCTCCCCCATCCAGCCCCCCTCACTCCAGCCCCCCCGCTCCCATGCCAGCTCCCTCCCCCATCCAGGCCCCCCCCAGTCCAGCCCCGCTCCCATGCCAGCCCCCCGGTCCCCTCCCCCATCCACCCCCCCCCCCCCCCCCCCCCCCCCCCCCCCCCCCCCCCCCCCCCCCCCCCCCCCCCCCCCCCCCCCCCCCCCCCCCCCCCCCCCCCCCCCCCCCCCCCCCCCCCCCCCCCCCCCCCCCCCCCCCCCCCCCCCCCCCCCCCCCCCCCCCCCCCCCCCCGCCCCCCCCCCATCCAGCCCCCCTCACTCCAGCCCCCCCCGCTCCCATGCCAGCTCCCCTCCCCCATCCAGCCCCCCTCACTCCAGCCCCCCCCGCTCCCATGCCAGCTCCCCTCCCCCATCCAGCCCCCCCGCAACTCTGCTGCCTCCCAAACAGCCCCCGGTGCTCACCTGGGGACGGGCCCCCGCCGCGCGGCTCCCCCCCGCCAGGCCCCGGCCGCACCGGGCCGCCCCCTGCAGTAACATCCCGACCGCGGCGCCCCGACAACCCGCCTCGTCTCCGCACGGAGCGACAGCTTCTTCAGCCAATAGCCGCAGCGGCTCCTCCAGGCGCGAACCAATAGTTGCGGAGGGGGCGGCCCCTGGGGACGCGGACCAATGGGAGCAGGGGACTGGAGGGGGCGGGGCGCCGGGGTCAGCCGGAAGTGGGGCCGTCGGGCCGGGCGAGCGCGCGTGGCCCCCGCTCCCGATGGGCAAAGAGCCGCCGCCGGGCCCTGCGGGCCGCGCTGCCCGGGGGGAGCCGCGCAAGGGCGGGGCGGTGCCGAGGGCCGCGGTCCCGCCCCGGGCTCGGTATGTGGGCTCGGTATGGGGGGGGGGGCTGCTCCGCGGGCTCGGTCTGCAGGGCCGGCCGATGTGCTGCGCCTGTCACCGCGGTGTCTGGTCCCTTCCCTCGGCGGCGATGCGGCCCATCGCGCTGGTGTGTCCGAGCTCGTGCCCAGCACGGGCCCGTGGACACCTGCATCCAGCCGCTGAAGGGGGCGACTGGCTGCGCCTTAGGGCCCTGGGGCGCCGTCGCCCGCTCTGGTCCTGGGAACTTTGCCTCCGGGCAACCCCCCCCCCTTTCCCCCTGCCCCCCGACTGCCCCCCTCTGCCTCCCGCGCACTGGCTGTGCGGCCCTTGTTTTACCGGCTGGGAAGGCGACACCCGAGCCCCGCCCCTCGGAGGAGGGGTGCAGTGTTGCGTAGCTGCACGGGGTAGGAGAGAGGCGAGGTGGGGAAATAGCCTTTGTTGGGCCAGCTTCTGCTGGGGAGAGAGGTGAGCCGTCCAGCTTACACAGCCATAGGAACGGCCATAGCGGGTCAAACCAAAGGTCCATCCAGCCCCCTACCCTGTCTTCCGGCTGTGGCCAGGGCCTGGTGCCCCAGAGGGAATGAGCAGAATAGGGAATCATCACGTGAAACATCCCCTGTCGCTCAGTCCCAGCTTCTGGCAAACAGAGGCTAGGGCCACCAGCCCTGTGCATCCTGGCTAATAGCCACTGATGGACCTATCCTCCGTGAATTTATCTAGTTCTTTTTTGAACCCTGTTATAGTCTTGGCCTTCACAACATCCTCGGGCAAGGAGTTCCACAGGTTGACTGTGCATTGTGAGAAAAAATACTTCCTTTTGTTTGTTTTAAACCTACGGCAGAGCTCCGTAAGCTCAAAAGTTTGTCTCTTTCTCCAACAAAAGCTGGTCCACTAAAACATGTTACCTCACCTGCCTTGTCTCAGTGAGAAGAGGGACAGTTCGATGGATAGACAAACCTAGCTCACTGGGCCTGTTTCTCAGCTCAGACCTTGCCTCCCATTCACCTGGCTGTCAGTGCTGCAGCAGTGAGTTCTGCACCTTTCCCTGTCCCTGATTTTGGACCTCTGTATGTCTCTTCCTTTTCAGCCAAGAGAAGAAGAAAACCAACTCAAAGCCCAAACATCTTGATGAGCAGGAAATCCCCTATCGGCTTCAGGAGCTCATTAAGAGCAGAGAGGAGATGAAAAACCCCAAGAGCAGGAAGAGAAGGAAAGCAGGTAAAGGCCAGCCTCCCCAGGACCTTTTTAACTCACTGGAAAAATCCCATCAAATACAGATGAGGCCTAATTTACACCAGTTATGTTGACTTCACTGAAAATGGCACATGGCCCCACTACAGGGGATCAGACCATAGGTCCCTCCCATTGAATATCCTGGCTGCGGTTCCAGTGGTGGCCAGTACCAGCAAGTAGCGGAGACCCTGCAGGAGGCAGTTCTGGCGTAATCTGCCACCAGGTACTGTTCCTCCTTCCCCTCGTCAGTTGATGGTCATCTTGTGCTCTGACACGGGGGTTTACAGGTCTTCTTAGGAATGAAAAGAAAAGGGTTCCAAATTCCTGGGTCTACCACAGAGGCTGGGCAGGTCATTTTGTTTCTCTGGGCCTCCTTTCCCCACTTCTCGGTCTCTTGCTCTTTGTCAGGTTCTTGGGTGCTGCCGCTGTCGTGATGCCTCACTGATCTCAGGCTGGAAGTACTGAGGGAGAGGATTATGATGTACATGACTGTGCAGTATCTTGGAATCTGCTTGGTTCTGTCCAAGCCCAAAGGGGTGCTGAGTGGCAGCATGGGGCTGCAGAGCTGATCCTAACCATCAGAGGAGTCAGGTTCTGTGTCAGCTTCCAGCAGGCGCAGCGGGTGCAAATACCTGAACTAGATCCCGTGTCCCTGGGATTTGTCCTGCCTGGGATGGGCAGTGCCCTCAGATCCTTCTTCTGGCTAATGCTGTTGTGATCTTGGCTGCAGTGAGCAAAAGGAAGCCTGTGACCCCGGATCCTGCAGCCCAGGGTGATATTCCCGTGCCCAAGTTCAGGAGGCGGAAGCAAGAGTCGGTGTCGGCTTACATCCAACGCATGGAGCAGGAGACCCAGCACGTCCTGTTTCTCACCAAAAACCAGCTGCAGCGCGAGCCTGAGACTGAGGAGCCGGCCCCAGAGAAGTCACAGAGGAAGAAGGAGTAGGTCTGGGGGGGGAGCTCACGCCGAGGCCAAGGGAATGCTTTGATGTTGCTGGGCAGGGCCCAGTCGTGGCTCCTAAAGGCTGCAGCAGGGGCTTGCCTGATCAGCAAATGCAGAATCAGCTCCTGCCTTCAGAAATCGCTGCTTATCCTGTTGGCACTGGAGTTGCATTACTGAGGAGAGGGGAGGGGAGGAGACAAAGCCAGCCCCGAGAGGGAGCAATTAACTGACACCAGCCGTGGCAGAGACTGGTCCTATCCTCCCCCTGGGGCCCATACAGGAACTTTCCCTTCAGGGGGCAGCACCGTCCATCACTCTGCCATCCAGCAGCTGGTACTGAGCTCACGCACGGCAGACCCGTTCTGAGGAGGCTGCTGCACCTGCATGACACCCAGAGGGCTGGGGTGGGGATTGTACCCCTGGAGGTGAGGGAGTGGAGTTCTCAGCTCTTAATGGGATAGTGTCAGGTTAAGATCAGGGGCCCCCGGTGCGCAAGGTGCTGCACACACAAGTAGTAAGACACGCCCCCTGCTCTGGAAGCTCACAGTCTGAGTCAGGTTTAAATCCTGCAGACGGGTCTGTTCTAATCAGAGCATTAGCACCCTTCCTCCTACCCCCAGCACCCTTTTTTTAACCAGCTCTCCATCCCCTCTAAATGACCCGGCTTGGCATCCTTAGATTTCGGAATAAACGACTAGGAGAAAATGCAAAAGAAGAGAGAGGAGAAGAAAGCGGCGATGCTGGAGAAGGCCTTGTTCCAAGGTAGGCGCGGGTACAGATCGGCAGTGCTGCTCTGGCTCCGGGCAGCCCTGGCTCTCCTGCAGACCCCTCACCCTGGGTATGGCCCCGGGAGAGGGGTGTAGAGGAGGTTTGCGTTACCTGAAATTTGCTCCCAAGTTCTCTTGCTTCCTTGGCTCCCCGTTTTCCTGGCTCCGTGATGGGCTGCATGCGCCCAGGGAGCTTCCTGGGAACACACTGTGGGGCCCAGTCAATAGTTTGCGGATCGGGCGGTACTTCCTCCAGCCTGCCTCGTGAAATGCTGCCGGCAGATCCTTGTGAGGCTTGGGATTCTGCTTCACTCCCTGAGCTGTGCTGTTCTGTTCTGCAGTGCTGTTCAAAGCACCTCTCCCCAGAGGCGGCTGCACTTCAGCAGCAATCACTGTATATGCAGGGTCTTTAAAGAGCTTTGGGGTGGTGGGAGCTGTTGGGAGTGTCTGCTGGCTCACACCATGGCCGAGATCTCAAGCAACGTCTGTCTCCTCCCCTGCCCCCTTCCTTTCAGATCCAGTTCAGTTTGGCGAGGTCGCCATGCAGCCACCAGCGCTTACGGTGAAGCCCAGAAAGGGGGTAACCAAAGAGAAGGTAAGCTGTTGCGTCCCATCTCATTTCAGCCCTGGGCTTGTCTCCCAGCTCTGCCAGTGCTGCTCAGGCTGACCCCCACGTCTCAGCCCAGGTCTCTCTTGAGCAGATCTTGCAAGTTGTAGGGTTGCCAGACTCTTTCGCCACGGCCCTGGGATTTGAAGCCAGCTCTCCAGCAGGATGAAAGCGGAGTGGCACCAACCTGTTGGCACTATAGGGCTTCTTGAGCTTAGTAGGAATTTTGACAGTAGAGACTTGGAAGCTCCTGGCATCAGTCGCTGCCCTTTGGCAGGTGCCTTCTCCCTGCACCCCGCTCTGCGGTGGGCTCTGTCCCTGGTTGACCCTCTGTCCCTTAACATGTGTTGAGTCTCAGCGGCTGTCTTTCCATTTCTGTAGGCTGGTCCGAGGCAGCTCCTGCTGACGGCTCTCCTGGCTCCCGGCCGTGTGGCTCCTGTCCGCAAAGCTGCCCCCTTGTCCCTCGCTCGCCAGCGCATCGTGGAGGAGGAGCGGGAGAGGGTCATCCAGGCCTACAGGGACATAAAGAAACGCAGACAGCAGCAGGCGTCCGAGAGCTGTCTCGTGGGGGACAAGCTGGAGAAGCCACTCTGAGCCCTCTGGCGGCCAGTGCCGTCCTGGGGAAGGTGACGTGGCTTTGGTCTCTGTACATGTGGGGATGGATGCTGATGTGGTGAGAGGTGTCCACAGGTGCTCCAGGGATCTGCTGTATGGGGAGCAACCCTCCCCAGACAGTCTGACTGAGTCATCAGGACACTGGCCCATGAGCACAGGATCTCACAGCCCCTCCCTCAGCGTGTGGAGCACAGGGCTCTTAGCCAAGCACTGACAGCAGCTAGCCCCTCACCTGGTGCAACGTGCTGCATCAGGCCCCAGAACTCTGCCCCCTTCCTGCTGGAGCAGAACCACCTGTGACGGGAGGGTGCAGGTCACTCCCGTGTCTTTGGGATCAGTCCTTGTCGCTCGCAGGCCCAGCCCAGAGGCGACACCGTGTTAGCGGCAGGAGGCAGGCATGGTGCCGTGGCTTGGGCTGGGTGTGGAAGGAAGGGTAAAGGGAGGCGCTCAAAAAGCCCATTTGTGCCCATGCATCGCTGCGCTGAGTCGGCAGAGCTCGCTCTGGGCCAGCTCCCGGAGGTGACGAACCCGCTGATACGAAACACTCTCAAAGGGGCAGTCTCGCGCTGAGCTGCCTCTTGGCTGCGTCCCTGAGCACCTCACCCTCACTGGGCTTGGGGATGTCTGCTCCTTCAGCCAAACTGAATAAACAGCAGGAACATGAATGGAAATTCGCCCCCCTCATTTCTTCACCCATTTGAACCCCCTTATCCCCGAGCTGGGGAGGGGGGGGGGTCCTGCTTCCTTTCCTGCCCTGCAATAGCAACGACTCCCCTGCAGGTGGCAGTCTGCACTCGGCAGCGTGAACCTTGCACGGCCACTGGCCCGCTCCCCTTGGCCTGCATTCCCCAACGTGGGCCTCACTGCTGGCCTCTGGCGAGGGGAGACTCACCTGGATACTGCGCCCACCGCTACAGCCGGGAGAGGCAGCTCTTGCTGGGTGCATGGCTCGTTCCATAATGGGAGGCAGGCTGGCCCTGTGCTAATGGCACCGGTTGAAACTGGGGACTCCCGAGTTCTCTCTGCAGCCTCGTTGGGCAACTTGTGGGCTGTGTGTGCCTGTGCCTCAGTTTCCCCATGTGCTATGGAGAGAACCAGGGTTTGAGGTGGGATTCCCCTAGGCAGTGTATGATTCATGGTCTGACTGTCCTGGGGTGCTAGACAGGGCAGCATGTCTTTGGCCTTCCCCTGCAGGCCTGTCTGTGTGGCACAACAGGGGACCCCATCCATACCCTCCCCTCGCCCCAGATGAGCCTACGTGGGGCTGAGTTCCTACCTCAGCTGCTCCTGAGCCCTCTGTCTCCTGGGTGTACGCTCCTCCTGCAGCTTCTGCCTGTTACTGAGGTTGCTCCTGTGTCCCTGCGGTGGGGTCCCCTTACCCAGCCCCAGACCTGGCGGCCTGCCTCTGCTCCCACCAGGAGAGGTGAGGAAGAGAACAGCTTTGGGGCATTTTCCCAGCAAGCCACTGTTTTGAGTAGGTCCAACACACACCAAGTTCCCAGCCCTCACCTCCCTGGTCCCTGAGGGGGTTCCCCTCCAGGTTTAACAGTTTTTAATTTGGCTGGGACCCTCCCTTTCTAATCATTGTGCCTCGCTCATCCCAGCTCCCTGTGGAGCTTCTCCCTGACACTGCTTGGTGGAGCGGCTGAGCAGAGGACTCTGTATGCAGCAGGGCTGGGGCTCCCCCAGGCGATCTCGTTCCTGAGGCCAGAAGCTCCAGTGCCCCTGGGGAGGTGGGTGGCAGCTTGTTTTGGGGGCAGGGCTAAGCTGGTGGGTGTCCTGCTGTTTGCTGGGCCAGACATCAGACTGGTCCCTGCAGAGGCCCCCTGCCTCATCCCCCAGACATGCTCCATCATAAACACGCCGTGGCTTGTACCCAGTTTGAGCTGCTGGGGCCTTGTGCTGGGAGATGGGCCGCGCCCCACCGGCTCCACGCGGCTCTCCAAGGGGTAATTACGGCTGGTGACTGTCAGGCTCTTTCCTGACGCGCTAATCACAGGCCTGGGCATTGCCAGCCCTGCCCTACGGAGACTGATCAGCTCCAGGGCCTCAGCCCCTTGCCTCCACTCCCAGCCTGACTGCAGTGACCTTCCCTGGCTGGCGGGAGGCTCACCTTCTACCCCGGCATGGCCTGCAAAGAGTTGTGGTTGGAGCCTCTGCCAGCATAACCTGGAGCCAGCCCGGGCCTGAGGTGCGTGGGGGCTGGAGATGGGGGGCAGGAAGAAATATTAATCCCTGCAGTGGGGCTCTGGATCTACCTGCTGGATGCCTGCTCCATGCCCTATGTAACCAGCCTAGTGCCCCCAGCCCATGCTCCTGAGGTGGCATTGCCAAGTGAGGTAGCCCAGCAACTGCCCCCCTTCCACCAACTTTCACTCTCTGCCTCCCCCCCCCCTCAGCCCTTTCTCTAGGCCAAGGTTAATGGGCTTACACTGCCCCAGGTTCCCCTGAGCCCTGTCAGCATGCTGCACCCCCATTCAGCCCAGGGCTTAGCCAGCCAGAAGGAGCAGAGCCTGGCTGCTGGGCTGATCTGTGACCCCGGCAGGCTGGCACATCAGGCCCAGTGCAGAGGGCTCCTTGCACAGCAGCTGTTGGTGTCAGAACCGGCTGGGGGAATCCAACCGGCCCTGCGGGCACCTGGGCGGGGGCAGGATTATGGCAGGGTGGGGTCAGCAAGCAGAGGGTGGTTGGCACCTCCCCGTATCAGGCCCACCGAGCCCCTGCACCAAACTCCCCCCTCTGCTCTTCTGGGCAGCGTTCTTTGGCCCTGGCCTGAGCTGGAGCCACGAGACCTGGGCCTGCCAGTCCCCTGCTGCTTCCATAGCTCAGACTGGCGGAGCCGCCGGAGTGGGAAACATATCCCCCCCTTCCCCAACCTTTGTCTCTTGCTCTCTGTGTGGGCTGAGCACCTGGGCCGTGCACTCAGCCCTGCCCTGCCCTGCCCTGGAGCCCAGCAGGGTGGGGCGCCCTGTCCCGAAGTCAGCAAGATGAAGATCTGGCAGCTGCCTGCTGTGCCATGGGGACTTGGCAAAGGTGCCGGCCCAGCGCACCTGGGATCCCCACGCATCTGGCTCCAGCTGGTCCAGCCTCTGCTCTGGGTGTCTATTTGCTGAGGACTGGGACCCGGTGACTGCCCCCTGCCCTGCCCCATTGCAGGGGGCTGCTAGGCACCCCCTAGTGGGCAGCCGTGGCCTAGCAGCTCTCCAGCATTTCCCCCCCTCACCCAGCACGGGGAGGATTGCCAGTGACGCAGCTGGGTCAGTCCCCCCCCTCCAAGGTCACCACTGTCCAAACTAAGCGTCCCAAGCTGCCTTTACCACAAACAAACCCCTCCTGCCGTCTCCGGGCTATTCCTCAGGCTGCCTTTGGGGCTCAGCTATGCAGGCCCCCTGCAAGACGCCCCCCAACCCTGGGCTTCAGCCCCAGGCCCCGTATTCCACAGCTAGGTCCTCTGCTTTCCCCCGGGCCACTTCCTACTAAGCCTCTTATATTCTCCCCGGTCTCCCAGTCTCTTCCCTGCTTAAGCTGGGTCTCTCCCAGGCCTCCCTGCTCTGAGCAGCCTACCTGGTTCTCCCCCCAGCTGGGCTTCATCACCACTCAAGCCAGCCTCTCCCTCTCTGCTGCAGTCACCTTCTGCCCTTTACAGGGGAGTGACCAGTCCCCTCAGGTGGGGCTTGTTCTGTAATCAGGTTGGCTCAGCCCCTGGCTCTCCAGCCTACGGGACAAGCCCCCGTTACACACGGGACTGTTACTGCCTGGGTTAAGTTCTTTGGGGCAGGGACTCGCTCTCGGTTGTGTGGGGTCCAGTGCCCAGCTCCATGAAGGGCCCCGGCCCCCAGCTGGAGCCACAGGACACCTACAATACACCTGATGTTTCCCACACCAGTGAAACACTCACCCTATGTGACAGCTCGTTTCCCCACTTTTCCAGGGTAATTTGACTGATCGGGACCAGCCAGCTCTGTTCCAGTTGGGCCTCTGGGGAGGTTTCACCAGGGTTCATTCAAAGAGAGTTTTTTCCTTGTGTCTAAGGCAGCTCTAGAATTTGGCTGCCGTGTGACACTCCCTGTCCAGACACAGGGCCTGTGTCAGCTGGAGGCTTGACTGGAACAGTTCACTTAGCGCCCGCTGCTTGTGCTCTTGGAAGTGAAGGCTTGGTGGAGCCAAGTATAGTGCAATCCCCCTCCGGCTCCTGGGCTCCCTGCATGCACCACTCAACGGAAGCCCTCATTTCCCTGAACTGTTACCTGTGTGCATTGGCCTAGCTCCCAGGCCTGCTGGCAGTTCTGTGCTTGGTGCATTTCCATGCTTACCTAGGGACGTTGATGCATCTGCAAACCTTACAGCTGCACTGCAGAAGGCCTGCAGCGAGCAAGGCCCCTTAAGGGAGTACAGGCCCTGGGGCTGCAGCACCCTGGCTCTGTCGTGCCGGTAGGCGAGGAAGGGCCTGTCTGGCTCGGGCAGCAGCTCCATAGATAACAGGGCTTGCTCTGTGCTGAGCAGGTGTCTGTTCTGCTTTCCTCTGCAAACCCAGGGTGAAGTGGAAGGGCCCCTCCCCCAGCCCCTGCCTCTGCAGGTGTTTGTACCAGGTGCAAACAAAGAGGCGATGCCCAGCTCAGAGCAGCAGCTGAAGTTCACCAGGAACAATTACAGGGAGCCCCAGGGGAGATGGAACTCGCTGCGGCTCTTGCTGCTCCTCCAAAGGCACTTCGTGCAGAAGCAGAGCCAGCCCCGGCTGGCAGGGAGACTGCTGGGAAGGGGCCCCCCTGAGAGCAGCCTGCGCCCCCTTGGCAGGCTGCCTTGCTCGTGGGGCTCGCTCAGCTCATGCCAGGTTTCCTGCTGATGCTCTGGCAGAAGAGCTCGGGGGGGATTGCATGGCACTGTGCAGGTGTGTTCCAGAGAGGCACCCTGAGATCATCCAGTAGGGGTCACTCAGGGGTCGCCCAATGGGAATGAAAAGCTGCGGACCCCAATAGCAGGTGCCCCTGGGCACGCTCTGCCAGCCACCTTGGGACGGGCCAATTCACTCGCCCGCTGACCCACGTTCTCCTCCAATCAGCAACCAAGGACCAAAGGAAAGAATCCAAAGCATGGGCACTGCCCCAGAGCCAGGCAGTGTGTGCAACAGCCCAGGCGAGCCTGGGGCTTAGCCCCCTCCCCTGTTGTGGTGGATTCCCCAGCAGGGGTCCCTCTTGGCAAGGGGAGTCATTGGAAGCCGCTTTGCTTCACCTGCTGCACCTGGACAAAGGCAGGGCTGTTCAGCCGACCAGCGGAGTGTCACTTTGGCTTGGCTCGTGGTATTTGCACAAAAGATTTCCTGTTGGTATTGATCCGCTTCCCAGCCCCTGCCTACCTGGGCCTGGCCGGCTCTGACGATAGCATTTTGCGTCGCTCCATTCGTGGGTTTTCTTTCAAACGGAAATTCAATGCTGGTGGAAGGTGCTGGGCAGAGAGGTCTGCCGACTGGCATCCTCTGTCGGCCAAGTAGATACGGGATGGGTAAACAGTGTAAAACGGGCTGTGCCTGGTGCCGCAGGGCCCAGCTACAGGGGTGAGCGGAATCCACATAGCTGTGTTGTCCTTTGCATTCAAGCAATAACATACATTTAACAGCTGTGATTTTTCCCAAGCACTGAGAACACCGAAAGCCAAGTCTGCTTGGAGC